TACATGTCAATCAATAACTACTTTCAATATAAACAGACTAAATGCTCCAATCTAAAGATACAGAGTGTATGAATGGATAACAAATACAAGACCCATCTATATATTGCCTATAAGAGACTCACTTCAGATCTAAAGGCATACATAGATTGAAAGTAAAGGAATGGAGAAGATATTCCATGTGAGGGGAAAAAAAGAAAGCTGGAGTAGCAATATTGACATCAAATAGAATAGGCTTTGAAAGAAAGACTGTAACAAAATACCAAGAAAAAAGGTTTTTAACTGATAGAGAGGTCAATCTAAGAAGAAGATATAACATTTGTAAGTATTTATTCAATAATCATAGGAGCCCCTAAATATATAAAGCAAATATTAATAGACAAAGAGGAAGAAATTAACATTACATCAACGATGGGGGACTTTAATACTCCACTTACATCAATGAATGGATCATCCACACAGATAATCAATAAGGAAACATTGAGCCTAAAGGAACTATTAGCAGATATGGACTTGATATAGATAAAACATTTGATTAAAAAACTACAGAACACACATTCTTTTCAAGTGTACATGTAATATTCTTCACGATATATCACATATTAGACCACTAAACAATAAAGTCAAGAAGACTGAAATCATATCAAGCCTCTTTTCTGAATACAACCATAAAAAACTAGAAATCAATTCAAAGAAGAAAACTAAGGGAAAACCCCACAAACACATGGAGCTTAAACAACATACTGCTAAACAATCAATGTGTAATGAAGAAATCAAAGAGAAACAAACAAACAAAAAAACCCTTCAGACAAATGGAAGCAAAGCTTTCCAAATTTATGGGATGCAGCGAAAGTAGTTCTAAAGGTAAAGTTCATAACCATACCTGCCTACCTCCAGAAACAAGAAAAATCACAAATAAACTATTTAACTTATACCTAAAGGAACTAGAACAAGAAGAAAAAACCAAAATCTAGTTGGTAGAATAAAGGAGATAATAAAGATCAGAGTGAAAACAAATGAAATAGAAATAAAAAATAAAAAAGATCAATAAAACTAAAAGCTGGCTGTTTGAAAACATAAAATTAATAGACCTTTAGCCAGAGTTATCAAGAAAAAAATGGTCCAAATAAATAAGATCAGAAATAAAACAGAACAAATAAGACCAAAGAAATACAAAAAATAATAAGAAACTGCTACAATTATATGCCAACAAACAGAAAACCTAAGAAAAATGCTTAAATTACAAGACATACACAACCTTCCATGCCTGGACCATGAAGAAATAAAAAATCTGAAAACACCAATTACAAGTATAAAATTAAATCACCAATTTTAAAACTGCCAAACAACAAAAATCTATAACCAGATGGCATCACAGGTGAATTCTACCAACCATATAAAGAAGAGTTAATACCACCTTCTCAAATTATTCCAGAAAATTGAAGAGAAAGGCATATTTCCACACTTATTTTATGAGGCCAGCATTAATTAATATCAAAATTAAAGACACTACAAAAAAAACAAAATTAAAAACCAATATCTGTGATGAATGTGATATAAAAACCCTTGACAAAATATTAGCAAGCTGAATTCAACAATACTTAAAAGGATCATATATCATAATCGGTTGGGATTTATTCTAGGGACACAAGGGTGGTTCAACATGTTCAAATTGATCAATGTGGTACACCAAATTAACAAAATAAAGGACAAAAAACATCACTTCAATAGATACAGAAAAATCAGTTAACAAAATTCAACATCTATTTATGATAAAAATGATCAACAAACTGGGTATAGAAATGATGTGCCTCAATATAATAAATATATTACCACCACTCCCCCAGCTAACATTATATTCAATGGTGAAAAGCTGAAAACATTTCCTATAAGATCAGGAACAAGAAAAGGATGCCCTCTTATTTGGTGTAGTATTGAAAGACCTAGCTATAACAATTAAGCAAGGGAAAAAACATAATGAAATGTACCCAAATTAGAATGGAAGAATTAAAATTGTCACTGTTTGCAGATGATATGGTATTGTATGTAGAAAACCCTAAATAATCCACCAAAAATATTAGAAATAGTAAATGAATTCAGTAAAGTCACAGGATATAAAATTAATATACAGAAATAGGTTATATTTCTATACACTAATAACGAGCTATCAGAAAAAGAAATTAAGAAAACTGTCCCATTTACAATTTACAATTGCATCAAAAAATAAAATAAGTAGGTCTAAATTAAACCAAGGAGGTAAAAGATTTACATTTTGAAAACTATAAGACATTGATGAGAGAATTTGAAAGAAAACAACACAAATGAATGAAAAGGTACACTGTGACCATGAAAGAATTAATACTGTTAACATGTTCAAACTAACCAAAATAACCTTCCCTACAGATTCAAAGCAATTACCATCAAAATAACAATTGCATTTTTCACAGAACTGAAACAAAGAATTCTAAAATTAAAAAGAACAACGAATGATCCAGAAGAGTCAAAGCAATCTTGAGAAAAACAAACCTGAAGTACTGTGCTTCCTGATAGAAACTATACTACAAAGCTATAGTCATCAAAATAATATGGCACTGGCATTAAAAACAGACACATATGTAAAAAGAATAAAATTGAGAGCCAGAAATAAACCCACATATATGTGGTCAATTAATCTATGATAAAGGGACAAGAATATACAATGGGAAAAAAACAGTTTCTTTAATAAATTGTGTTGGAAAACTAAATTGCTACATGCAAAAGAATGAGACCAGACCACTATCTTACACCACAAAAAAATATATATTAAAACTAGATGAAAGACTTGAATATATGACCTGAAACCATGAAGTTCCTAGAAGAAAACATAGGGAATAAGCTCTCTGACATCAGTCTTAGCACTAATTTTGGTTCAATCTTCTTAGGCAAAGGTATTGTAAATCAAATGGGATTACATTACATTGAAATGCTTTTATACAAAAAATGAAATCGTCAACAAAATGAAAAAAAACCTATTAAATGGGAGAAAATACTTGCAAATCATACATCTGATAAAAGCATATTATCTAAAATATATAATGAAATACACAATTTAATACAAAAACTCAATTAAAACTGGGCAGAGGACTTGAATTAATGTTGTTAAAATGTCTATGGTGCACACCTGAAAGTAAAAAGATACGTTGACTTGGTGTGGTGAATACACAAAGCAGTGTACAGATGATGTATTATAGAACTGTGCACCTGAAACCTGTGTAATTTTGTTAACCAGAGTCACCTGGATAAGTTCAATAAAGAAGAAAAAAATTATTGGGTATAAGTAAGACCCCATAATATAAAGCTAAGAAATTGAGCTGGACAGCTACTATTCCACAGGAAGTTTGCTAATTTCTAATTTAACCACTTTCAGTCTTGATGTAGTATGATCCATTACTGAATCTTGTGTTTTTCTAAAAAATAATATACTATATTTAACTTTATACAGTCTTTTAGGCTTTAGTTACATATTTTAAAGTGTAATAACCACTTCATAGGTGATACATGAAACTTAAAGAAAGGCTTACCTTTCTTTTTTTATATTTGCTGAATATTATAATTCAAGATATCTTTCTATACTTAATTTTCACATGTATTATAATGTATGTATTCCTATCAGCACCAGAAACCAAATAAAAAATTTTTAATTAATCAAATTGCCATTAAAATTTAGACAAACCCTGAAGCCTACTCTTGCTACAGACAGCAGTTGCAGTGTAACGAAAGGAACCTGGGGCTGAAGTCAGGGCGCCCAGCTGGAGCCCGGGCCTTCAATGTTTCAGAATTTCTATTTTCTCATGAAAAATGGGAGTGACGCTTCATGAGGCTATTCTGAAGGTTAAATTAAATATCTTATTTTTCCAATACAATAGCCTCTCACTTTTGTGATTAAAAACAGTTTATTTGTTTTCTTTTTTCTTCCATCTCTACAATTTAATTATGATATCGAACTCTCTCTTAAATCTTTCCACTTCACAAAAAAATTCCACATACACATGGAACTGCTTTTATTTTTCCTCCAAAGTAGGAATTTTTTTTTTAAATTGCTGAGTCCTTGCTTTGCTTTATTTTCAAAATCTCCATTAATAATTCAGTTATACTCTTTCAAAGCTCATTTTTGTGTTTTTTGTATTATTTTGTTTTTACCAAATGTTTTTTGTTTTCCAGACCTGAAGAATATACTTTCTTTACCCCTACTTCTAGAGTGACAGTAAGATGCTGCCTAAATATCAGTACTTATGTTACACAGCCATAAAAGGCTTCTAATACAATCATTCACTTCAGAGGCTAAAGTTACAAACTAATCTCAACTGCATCACCTGGTATATTCTGTAATTTATAAATGATCATTCCTTTCTGTTCTTTTCTAAACTAACATTTTTTCCAATTTACTAAATGAAATGTTTTCACATCACTATTTCATGCATTTTTTAACTTTTATTCATGGTTCTAGAGAGAGAAAGGGGGAAAGAGAGAGACAGAGAGGTAGACATCAACTTGTAGTTCTACCTATTTACACATTCACTGGCTGAGTCCTGCATGTGCCCTGCTGGGATGCAACCTGCAACCCTGGCGTACGGGACCAACTCTCTAACTTCCCTGGCCAGGGACTGTTTCATGTACTTTAATATTGAAAAAATTCAATCTCTAACTTTGTTATTTTTTCCTTAAATTTTCTAATGGTGACATTCTAATTAAATACAATAGTGAAAAACAACAAATACTAAATGGAAGTCAGAATACCTAGATTCTTGGTCCAGACTTGCTATTGGACCAGTTAAACCATATTTTTCTGAGATTCAATTTGTTTTATCATAAGTAAAGGGGTAAGAAAAATTATTTTTACAGTTTTACATGCTGATCATGAGAATTTTCCAAAGGTCACACATGTATAAAATTATAAGGAAAAGGTAATAAAAAATCAGCTGTAGCCATAAGAGTGTTATAGGCTAAGGGGAAAACGGATATACCTGCAATTTCTTCTAAAGTGTTGGCATGCATGTCCAGCAACACGGTTCCATTCAGAATACAGCTTCTCAACTCAAACAAGCTGTGCAATGATAGAGTCGCCACATATGGTTTGCTCCACCTCTCTCCTCCGTCTTCCACATCTTCTTCAAACTTCAACCACCTGTACAAATAAACACCATCAGAACATTGACTATTATGTTGTAGATCAATGATGCTTTATGCCAATAATAAAAACTACAAATATAAAGATGTTCACATTGCTTCTTGATTTCATGGGTTTTGGATTTAAGTAAAAGCTAGCCTAAGTGATTCAGTTTATATTATTTTAATGTAATTTAACAAGCATTCTTTTTGTCATTAAATAACATATCGAAACAACTCATATTATTTTCATTAGTTTGTCTAGCTCTGAAAAAATATTTTAATATAAATGTTTCCTCAGTGGTCACAATGAATCTGTTATGGAACTAAGAATGAGTACATAGATATACTTCATGAAAAATAATGGTAATTGGAAAAGATGCAAAAGAAAATAATACTCATTTTTCTTTAGCGAGAGGTCTTAAAACTAAATATTTGAGTCTTTTGATATTTTTTCCATTCAATTAAAGAATCTAGTATAATTTGGGGCCTACTCTATAGGAAAAATACTTATTAGACCTGTTTGGATAAAATCTAATGACCGCAGTCACCTCCTAGGGACTAAACTTAGGAGATCTGAGCTCAGCCCTCATTCACTAGGCCTTTCTGCCAGGAATGGGGAATAGAAGAACCTTGATATCACAGTGCCAAATGGACACCATTGCCCTCTTGCAGTGAAATATATACTAATATCTGAGATTGTTTCTCAATATAAATGGAAGGAATAAAGAGAAACCAATGATTTTACTGCTCTGGTACAAGCACCAAATCTCTTCTTTTAGGGACTTTCCATCTAATTCTAATAGATAACTAATTTAATTCCAATATCTGTAATGAATATTATGATAAACTGTCTTTCCTTCCTCATTCTCCACCATTTTTCTCACTCTTTTTCTACTCATTTTGCCCTAACTTCCTCTCCCAATGCAATATCACTCAAATTTTCTATATGATATATATTACTGTTTCATGTAACCAAATGATCCTCCTCCAACAGAGGACAAATATGTTGCAGTATCTATTTAGGGAAGCAGTGGATCAGCCAAAGATAACCAACCACAAAAGCTAGTCAGAATGATCAATGTGCAGAGTTCCAAGAAAAATAAAGACAGCTATGTATCTTTCTTTCCCCACTGTTCAGAGAGCAAAAAGTTTTGGGAAAGTGAAAAGTAAACCAATTGGGAAAACTAGTTTATAGATTAATAACTATGACTATTATAAGTTTATAAAATACTTGAAGGTTAAAAAAATTTGCATATAAGCCCCAAATCACTGATAGTATCTCTAAAATTGCTGGCAATTTTATAGAATGTTTTGTTTACACAGTTAAAAAGGTTTTCATATTAGTTATTTTAAACATTTTCAAACCATAACAGGGCCATAACATTTCATAAATCTATATGATGGTAATAGCATAATATCATTGATAAACTATAATTGGTTCTCTTTTCACAGTAAAGAATATGATATTACTACCCTCCCCCACCTAACTGGGGGAGGCCATGTGACTGTTGACTAGTTCTGGACATCAGAAATGTTCAAGGTGGAGGCTGCTCTACCAGCTGGGGTCTCTAAGTAGCTACAATGAGCAGATGTGTAGAGTCCTTTAATCCATGACGAATGTGTGTCATGAGACATAAGAAAGCCTTTGTGATTTTAAGCCATGGAGACTGCAGGGTATTTTTTAAACATAATTTAGGCTATCTTAAACTGATACAGATTACCATTTAAACTATTTATACCAGCATCAAATCATAATTATAATGATGATGACAGCAAATATAATTTTAAGTAACTATAATAAATTAGCATTTATTACCAGGTTTAGAAGTAAAGCCATGGTTACATTATAATGTTAATATCTCAGAGGATCAATGTCTGCCTCTTGGCAGACATTTTGAGAAGGGAAGGTAATATGAAAGTCTTGGATTAGTTGGGAATAAAAAGAAATCTAGGTGTTACCCCTATTCCCTAGCTAAACTGTCATGTGGCCAAGGGAAAGTCTTTGAGTTTCCGTGGGCCATGTTTTCCTCATCTATAAAATAATAAGACAAATTCAACACATTAAAAACTTGCCCAAGATCCCCAAGCCAGTGATCTTGTCAACCAGATTCAATTCCAAGTTGCTCTTCTCTGGAGTCTGTGCCCATTTTTCTACATAATACAATTATTTTGGTTGAATTCATGGACTTTCTTGGCTGAAATATATTTTCCTAATGTCTATAGTGGAAATAATTTGATTTAACATTTGATTTTCATCCTTGTCTGGAACAAATCTTAGGTTAAAAGTTTTTCTGTTCTCTCCCATTTTTTACATTATCTATAGACATAGCACCAAGAGAGGGGATACAACTTTTGTTAACCCTCTTATCACTTTGTATACTACTCACTTCTGATGCTGGTTTGAGACAAAAAAGGCAAAAGAAGGGAGTCTATCAAACAGCTGTTATTCTGCTGTTAACTTGGACTGAAGAAACATGTTTGATTTGAAGTTTTCAGTCTTTTGGGTAATAAAGAGGACAGGGTTATAGAAGGGTGTAAAGGGAATATAGATTTTTCACAGTTGAAAAATGTCTTCAATTAATGTTTCTAGAGCTATAGTACTTTCTGTCATCCCTACCTATAAAATTGTTTCTAAAATGTAGTATTTAAAAATTTTATTGAAGAAGTCCTGAAACATGTTTCTATACTACCAAAAAATTAGTTTTTTAATTATTCAAGTATAAATCTATAAACTGATCCATACAATAATATTGTTTGTGAGTTTTGGTAACACTAGTAATAAATTCACTTCTAAAGTACTCATGGGTTTCTGGACCTATACAGCCTGAAATACTTTCTTATAAGGAAAATTATAGTTAAATATCATGCTTCTGGATGACAGTGAAGATAATTAAATAAGTAATAAAACACCCAACTCATTTTATCTTGGCTACTTTGAAAGTAAAAATTTAAATTTTAAGAATCCTGGAAAAAGATTGTGTGTGGGGTGTGTGTGAGTGTATAGTTCTGTGCACTTTTGTCTCACAATAGAGATAGAAATTGTTCTATCACCACAAAGGATTATCACAAGGATAGGACAAAACTGTTCTATCATCACAAAGCTCATGCTCACATTTATATTCTCATCCCTTACCGTGCTTCTGATCCCTCAATCACTAATCTGTTCCTCATCACTATATTGTTACTATTTTAAAGATATTATGTAAATTGAATTAGATGGTTTTCAACCTTTTGAGATTTTTTTCACTAAGCATAATGCCTTTGAGATCCATTTAAGTTGTATATACCAACTGTTTGTCACTTTTTATTGCTGAACATGGAGGGATATACCAGACTTTAACCACTCATCCATTGAAGAGTATTTGGATTGTTTATGGGTTGTTGCTATTACAAATAAAGATCCTAAAAACATTCATGCAGAGGTTTTTGTGTGAACATGTTTTAATTTCTCTGGGATAAATACCCAAGACTGTGACTGCTGGGTCATATAGTAAGTATCTGTTAAGTTTTATTTTTTTAACTGTCAAACTGTTTTCTAGAGTAGCTATACCATTTTACATTCATACCAGCAATGGATGAGTAGTCTAGTATCTCCACATCCTCACCATTTGCTTTATGACTACTTTTTAAAATTAGCTGTTCTATTAGGTGTGAGGTGATGTTTCATAGTGGCTTTATTTTCCATTAACTTAATGACTAATGATGTTAAACATTTTTGTGTGGTTATTTTTCATTGTATTTCCTGTTTGGTAAAATGTCTGTGTATGTTTTTGCCCATTTTTCTAATTGATTGTTTTAATACTGTTGAAATTTGAGAGTTCTTTCTATATTCTCTACATAATATTTTTTTCAAATATGTGTTTTGCAAATGTTTTTTCTCTGCAGCTTGTTTTTAATCATCTTAATAGAGTTTCTCACAGCATAAAAGTTTTCAGAGTAAAGTCAATTTATGAATATTTTCTTTTGTGGACTGTGCTTTTGGTATCATGCCCCAAAACTCATCTATCCCCAAGACCTGAAGATTTTCTCCTATGCTTTCTATAAAATTTTCATAGCTTTACGTTTGACATTTATACTTATGATTTACTTTCAATTAAGTTTTGTATACACTTCAAGGTTTAGATTGAAGTTAATAATTTTTTACTTATAAATGCCTAATTATTCAGCACCATTTGTTGAAAAGACAATTCTTCTATTTAATAGCTCCCTTTGTCACAATTCAGCAGCATTTTTGTATTAGATATTCTCAGTTCCTTATTCGGCTCCATAAATCTACATGTCTATCTAAAAAGACATTCTAAAAACAAATCCAGGTAGTCCCATTTGTTTATTCTTTCCTTTATATCCCTTACCCTAGGGGATGTGTCAGTGAAAACATGACTGCATGGAATGTCTAAAATTTTCCTGCCTATGTTCTCCCCTGGGACTTTTATGATGTCAGTGACTTACATATAAGTCTTTTAACCATCTTGAGTTTATTTTGGTGTATGGTGTAAGTTGAAGATCTCATTTCATTTTTTTCCATGTACTTGTCCTGATCTCCCAACACCACTGGTTTAAGATAGTATTTTGACTCCATTTTATGTTCCTGCCCTCTTTGTCAGATATTAATTGACCATAAAGACCTAAATTTATCCTGGGCTCTCTATACTGTTCAATTGGTCTATGTGTCTGTTCTTATGCTGCTGTAATCAAACCACACTGTTTTGATTACAGTGGCCTTGCACTATAGTTTGATATCAGGTATTGTGATCACAATACCTGATCCCTCTCACTTTGTTCTTCTCAAATTAAAAACCTTCTGTGTAGCTAAAGAAAACTCATCAAAATGAAAAGGGAACCAACCATATAAGAAAACATATTTGCCAATGATACATCGGACAAGGGTTTGAGCTCCAAAATATATAAAGAACCCACATGACTCCACACCAGGAAAAAAAACAACCCAATTAAAAAAAGGGCTAAGATCCATGGCTGGTGTGGCACAATGCATTGAATGCCAGCCTGCAAACCAAA